CCACCACTTCTACGCCTACACACACCCATGTGCGTCCTTCCGCACTTCCCGCATCGACTGCGGCTATGATAGTTCCTCGTCCTCAAATCTGAACTCTTGGGCCTCTTACTCGAACCTGTGGCAACCTGAGTCTCATCCATTTTCCTCTTCCCTTCCGACTCCCTGCCCGACTCTCGCTCCTGTGTTACCCCAACGGTAACGTCTGCTGACTGAACAACAGATGTCTGATCCTGAAGCCTCGCTATCAATCTATCAGTGATCCTCACGACCATGTCTGGAAGACCCTCGCGAATGGCTCGCGAAACTTCCTCAACTATCCAATCATGCAATGGTTTCTCTTGGAGACAGAATGCCCCACACACCCCTGCCCCCTGATAGCAGAAACTAGAAATGGGATCTCCCTCCCTGATGGATCCCTGAACTCCATAAGATTCGGGACCTAGACGAGCCCCAATCTGTCCTGAAACTAACCCGGCCCTAAAGGCCTCAAGATGACTGTCCATGAGCTCCACAATAGCCTCTCTAACTGAACCGAAAATCACTGGAGTCTGATCGATGATGTTGCGCATAATCTCTGCGGAAATGAAATCCCTCATCTGATCATCAAGCTGCCCGGCTCTAAAGCCCGAGCCAGACCCCTCCCATGCACCTGAACTGCCAACTGATATCTCGCGCAACGTCACCATGCTGAAAATATAACAATCCCTGATCAATTACATACTACTACTGAGGGATCTCTCACATACTCTACTAGTTCCTTGGTTTCGCCTCGGCCCCTCTTGAATCGAGTACGGATCCTCTGCTTTCAGTAGTATGGGCCCCTACTACCTTCCACATCTATCCGTACTTTCCTCAAGAGTTACCTCAACTCCACCAAGTCCCCTTTACTCTTCTACTGATCTCTGCTACTCTCATCCTAGGCTTGTCCTAAGGAACCTCTAACTCTACCCAAACAATCCTCAGCTGCTGAAGGCCTCCTTGTAATGCCAATTAGTCACCACCTGAATACCATCACATGTGACGAGGCTGAGATAATCCTTCAAGTAAAGGACCCGTCCCTACAACGGTTGGACTCAAACGAGAGCTGCGCAGTAGGGCCAAATCCAGCACTCTGAGATTATTCAACCCTAATCACATGTGATGAAACGTATTCACCTAATGGCTAACTCTCATCACTCAGAGTCCCACAAAGCACAAAGCAAGCAGCATTCGGATAAGGGAAACATACTCAGGCAAAACAATTCTCATAACAAGAAACTGCACTAGCATATAAAGCTAAGCTTATACTTTCAGGCATAGCCTACACAGGCTATCCTACTACTGTTTTACTCATTACTAGCATGCAATACTCATCAAGCTGGAACACATAAAGCAAGCACATAAGGCATCATCCTAGATCCTTAGTCCTATTCTAGCATGCTGTTCTACTGAAGCTGGAACTGAAACTGAACTGAAACTGATACAGAAACTGATATTGAAAATAATCACATAACTTGTATGGGTAAATTGGGAGTACTTACTTGAGCTCGGCCGGTCGCGCACGTCACACACTTCGCTCTTTCTTATGACTCTTTTCCAAGTTTTAGAGAACATTTTCTTTCAAAAAATCTTTCAATCCCTTGATTTGAGTTCAGACACCCCCAAAGGCGTGTCCGAATCCCTCAAACCAGGGCTCTGATACCAACTTGTAACGACCCAATTTTTACGTCCGAAAATTTCATTTTAAAATATTACTTTAGAAAACATTAATAAATAAAAACATTGTTGATCACACCATAACACATCGCTACCATGTTTTAAAAGGTCAAACCATACATCCCATCAAAATATCAGAGTACAATCCCAGTGACTCTCGTAAATGCGGAAGACAGAGTGTGTGCATGACGTGCCGCTACCGCGCCGGCTCCTTCCCCTTCGGTGCAGAGGTACCTGAAAACAAAACTGTAAACGTAAGCACAAAGCTTAGTGAGTTCCCCCAACGTACCACATACCATACAAACACATACATAAATACTGCCAGGCTATTCTGGGGTGCCTGACTACCCGGTACGGCCATTCTGGGGTGCCGACCTACCCATACGGCCATTCTGGGGTGCCGTCCTACCCGTGTCAAGCCATTCTGGGGTGCTGACTACCCATGTCAAGCCATTCTGGGGTGCTGACTACCCATCGGTCCTAACAACCGATCCTCGGGGACTGGTCCCCTCCCGCTACCTCTATCGCATAACATAACAGGCCAACATACAAGCATACCATCACATACAGTCAGATGTTTCTGGGGTGTCTGACTACCCTGCGGTCCTAACAACCGAACTCTACTACTATTGCATATAACGTATCATGAGAGCATATAACATAACAGGTAATAGCAAACCTAGATGATATCACAAAGACAATCATCTATCATACGTCCCCTACTGGTGGGCCGGCATTGTGGCCTTAGGCCCACCACTACTGGAAGTAACTCACCTGAACTGCTGAGCCCTACTGATAAATCTCTGGCTGCTACTCGACAATCCCCTGATCCGCTGCTCCTCCAGCTCTCCGAGCTATCAATATACATATAACACTTAGTCTGACAGTCAACTAAGTCAACTCTGGTCAAAGTCAACCTTCCAGGTCAACCCTACTCGCCGAGTCTTCCTAAAGACTCGCCGAGTTCATAAGCTCAGGGTCTTTCTTATTCGCGACCCGACTCGCCGAGTCAGTCCATGACTCGCCGAGTCCAACCAGTTCCAAGTCCTGTCCTGTCCAACTCGCTAAGTCACCACCCGACTCACTGATTCGGGCCTCGACTCGAAGGGTTCAGGGTTTTCGCGATCTGACTCGCCGAGTCCAAGAACAGACTCGCCGAGTCCTAGACAATCTTCAACCAACTCGCCGAGTTGCTCATCCAACTCGCCGAGTCCATGCCTAACTTCATCCGACTCGACGAGTTGTTCATCCTACTCGTCGAGTTCCTCCTCATCTTCAAGCTACTCGCCGAGTCCACTCGAAGGACTCGCCGAGTCCATACGGTTCTACATACATGCAGAGGACCTTTGAGTCATGCATGGACTCCAAACTGTAGATCCACTCTTTTAAGGTCTATTCCTTACGTAAAGTTGCAAACTTTACGTGTAGAGAAGGAGATCTAGGCAAGATACGCCATTAACTAGGGTGTAAGGCCAAGGGACTTCAAAATCAACACAATGACTGATACTTTATGCTTCTCCAGGCCCTAAAACACTTGAATCTGAAGTAGCAACTCCAGATCCGGCTTCTAACCCAAAATAATAACATTATGGCAAAAGAGCCCCAACAACCACACATAGATCTAGGTGCAAAAAGGGTCCAGGAACTAGTTTATTACCTCCAAGTGCTCAAAATGAACTCACAATCCCAGATCTATAGCTCCTTCTTGCTCCTCCAAGTTCCTTCTTCCTTTTCCAAGCTTTAAAGCACCTTCCAAGGCTCAACTAGGAGATATGATGGCTAGGGTTTGATATCCAGGGCTAAAGAGGCAGTAAGGAAACCTGGGAAGAAGATTAAGACATTTATATAGGCCCCAAGTCCCGAATTTAGGGTTTTCCACGCACAGACCAGACTCGCCGAGTCACCCTGGTCGACTCGCCGAGTCGGTCACTTACTCCCCGACCCGGATCCCGCTCGGACTCGCCGAGTCCCTCCTTAGACTCGCCGAGTCGACCCCTAAACTTAGGGTTTTCTTTCCTTTCTTGGTCTTCGAAACCTTGGGTGTTACACATGAGTTCAGTATGAGATGTTAGACTGTGTGTATGCTCGACTTTGGGTGTGTTTGGATTGGTAATTAGTGGTAAGAACACGGTCAGTGGTTGAGTTAGCGTGGGAAGTGATGTAAGACTACGGGATAGTTGTAGCATTCACCAATAGCCAGATAGCATGGAAGGTGTTGTAAGACTACGGGATAGCCGTAGCATTCACCAACTACGGGATAGCATGGGGAATATAGTAAGAATGCGGGGTGGCTCATAGCATTAGTCAGCAAATAGCGTAGAATGTTGTAAGACTAAGGGGTTGCCCGTAGCATTCACTAGTTAGCATGTAGTGTAGAAGTGTTGTAAGGCTGCGGGGTGGTCCGTATCATTCACTAGTTAGCAGGTCGTGCGAAAGTGTTGTAAGATTGTGGTGTGGCTCATAACATTCACTAGTTGGCAGATAAAGTAAAGGTGTTGTAAGATTGTGGGGTGGCCCGTAGCATTCACTAGTTGGCAGATAGAGTAAAAACATTGTAGGATTGCGGGGGTGGCCCGTAGCATTCGTTAGTTAGTAGTTAGTACAATAGTATAGTAAGACTGCGGGGGTGAAACATTGTAGGACCACTAGTGAATGCTACGGGTCACCCCCGCAGTCTTACTATACTATTGTACTAACGGCTAACTAACGAATGCTACGGGCCACCCCCGCAATCCTACAATGTTTTTACTCTATCTGCCAACTAGTGAATGCTACGGGCCACCCCGCAATCTTACAACACCTTTACTCTATCTGCCAACTAGTGAATGCTATAAGCCACACCACAGTCTTACAACACTTTCACACTACCTGCACCGGTCCCTACTCGACAGTGAGAATGTGACAAAATTTTGACTCACTCACAAATTCCTTCAAACGATTTAGGCCAGGGCAGATCAGCCACACAAATGTGAGTAGGCCACAGTACGATTGGATTCGGGAAACGGTTGGTCATAAGAGACCAGGCGTGATGTAAGACTACAGTGGTACTAGTAGCATTCACCTTTTTGTGTCGGATTTCGTGGCAACTGGTAGTCATCCTATCATGATCGGATGTATCAAAAAGATTGAAGGAGCCATGAGTGGCTGTATAGATAGGGGCATAGGGCAGTTATTGTCAGACGAGGTATCCTTCGGAGGTCGCGTGGGGCGAATGCAAGTTTTCTTGTTGGCTTAGCAACTGGGCAGGAATCTGATATTTTAGATAGTGGCATACAAAATTGGGATCCAAGGAAGTCATGGTTGCTATGGAAAGCAGCAAGACGACGATATGGTGTTCCGAGTAGCGGCAGTGATTCAGATTTGTATGTGGAATAGTCATTAACTGGGAGATGCTAAGCCACTTGCAGTGGGATTAAATAATCTCAGAGTAATCAATTTGACTATGTCGCACAACTCTCGTCTGAGTCTAACGATTTGTCACACCCCTAAATTGGAATGGCGGAAACGTTCGGGGGCGGAGGACGTCATGTTTAGTATCACAACACATGCATCAAAGTAATCAAAGTAACAAACAACTATTGCATTAATATGAAAGTGTTTACAAAGTATGTGATTCACAAAAGTTAGACTCCAAAAGTAAATAACAAAACAAGACATGAAGCTACTACACATCATCTTCTGAATCCCAGTGCGCGTACCTGTCTACTAGTTTCCTGAGAATACAAGTTATTTTGAAAGAGTAGACCAACATTTAAGCTAGTGAGTTCATGAGTATTTGAGTGATGTAACATAAGTTGTATTTTCTTTTTATAAAAGTTCGCTTGCTCCTCCAGAAAATCCTATATTTTCTGATATGATGAATGAAAGTAAAAATGACTCTACAATTCCTTCTATGAGTACTAAATGGATACAGTTTATATACAATTTAGAGTAAACAGACAACCGATTGTATGAATATGCCCTAATCCCACAACCAAACAAGGAACAGGGAATGAGGCTGAAGTCACACATCCCATTGTTTGTTAGATAATCATTGTATATAACCCCGACGTATTCATTTGGTACTTACGAAGTTAACTATAATAGTTCTTTATATTTGATGAAAACATTCTTTAAGAAATCATATATTTCCTTTAGTAAAAATGGTAACCACAATAGTTCCTTCTATAATCACATAGTTTATACAAGCTATATATAATCTAATATCGAACAGACAGTTAAATGGGTGAATCTACCCTAAGCCCACAACCAAACAAGAAACAAGAAGTAAGGCGGAGAGCACACATCCAACTGACTATCGGATATTAATTATATATAACTCTGATGTATAAACTGAGGTGTTATAGAATTAACCACTAAGGTCCTTTAAGTTGTATGGGTTTAATAAAATGAGTTAAACCCTTCTACTAATAAGTTTCTAGTTTAGACTACTAAATGTTCTATCTAAAAAGTATGCTTTTGTACTAGAAAATGGTATATGAAATTTGTATGCTATGACCTGACCTATACTTGGTACTCCTTAGGATTAATTGGTGTATACGTAATATATATATATATATATATATATATATATATATATATATATATATATATATATATATATATATATAAAGCTAAGATCGAATAGATAGTAGACTGGGTGAATCTGCTTTAAGCCCACAACCAAACAAGGAACAGGAAATGAAGCGGAAATCACACATTCTACTGTCTACCGGACCTGATTAATATATATCGCTGATGTATAAACTATGGAATCATAAGGTTAGCATGATAGGCCCCTTTTTATCTGTATGAACTAACTACCTTCAAACATATTTGTTAATTAAGGTTAAAATGTGATAAGGTTGTAACTATGTTGATTGACTGTTGTAAACACGGCGATCATCCGACGTCGAAACGATGTGACATTTTGTCACCCTTTTGGCCTTGCCGGCTGGGACTGTAGCTAATAGTCGGGGTGTGGGATTGTCTGAACCATATAGATCTATACACAAATGTCCGCTCTCCCTCCAGGAGACTCTGGTTACAAAACGTGACCCATCGTAGAGTCTCTAGTCGATCGTTGCCTCATTATTTTTCCTCACCGTCGTTTAGAGAATCGGCAATCGTAGACTCGAAGTCGAAGGCTCAAAGCACATCTGTTCGAAACAATATAAATCTAGATGAGAATAAGTTCCTAATATATTTAAGATTTAATGCTGATTCTAATTATCTGATGATTTCGAATTAATTTTTGATTATGCTTAATTGAATTCTGGTTTTTGATTTTTTCTGTTCGACACACATGTTCTGATTTTATTTATGATAATTTCGAATATGATTTATGAATTGATTTTTGATTATGCTGAATTGAATTCTGATTTCTGATGGATTTGAGCTGATTTGAACTTATTTGTACCGATGAATCTGATTTCTGATATATTTGTTGATTTCTTTTCAAATGAACATATAGGTTACCCTAATTTCTGATCTATTTGAATCTGATTTGAGTTGATTTCTAATTTCTAATCTGTTTAGATAGATTTCTTGAGTATGATATGACATTGGTTGTTATTTTTCAGGAAATATGAATTCAAACAGTCAAAATATGCTCCAACTGCAAGTAGTCAAGATGTGGGAGGTTCGGGTTCTAATCAACAAAATACTGATTATGTGGATCAACAAGATGGGACAAATATTAATGATGCATTTTTTGATGAAGATGGAGATGAAGTGGTTGGTTCGAAAAGGGCAACATGTTCACCGACATGGTTTCATTTTATAAAATTTAAATTGAATGGTGAAGTTAAAGCAAAATGTAAATATTGCTCTAAAGTATTGGGTAAAGACAAGAGACCCGAAGTATACATGTTTTCCTACAGACCAATATTGAGAGTTGGCTAATGAGATTTGTGAAAGATTACAACTTTTTTATGAGGTGACTGTCATGTTCTTTGGTTCAAAGTATCCTACAACTAATGTTTTTTTTTTCCTTTGATATGTGAGATTGGGTATTCTTTGCGTGAGTGGACGAAATCTCCTATTGAGGAGATTAGGGAGATGGATGACCAAATGGTCTCTAAGGTCAATAAGTATTGGTATGTAATTCATGGGATAATGGGAATGACAGCGGTTTTAGATCCACGATACAAGTTAAAGTTTGTGGAGTTACTTTTGCTTGTGCTTTATGGAGAAGAAAATGCAAAGATTGAATTTCAAAACTTGGAGTGGTTTGTCAAAACTTTGTTTCAAGAGTACGAGTCAAGTAATGCATCTAAAAAAAGGAAGAGTAATGGTATTGTATTATTCTTATTGTTTATATAACAAATAGAACATTATATTACATTATTAACATTTTTAGACGAAACATTAGGTGTTTATGGTGGTTTAGTTCCTGGTTCATCTTCATTTGGTTATAGTATGTCTTTCGGTCATTGTGTTGGATTCAAAAAGCTCTTATCGGATATTGCTTCTATTACTAGAGATGATGATGAATCAAGAGGTATGAGTGAGTTAGATAACTACTTGAAGGAGAAATTATTGCCTAAAGACATGGAACTTGATCTGTTGGCGTGGTGGAAAACAAATGGGATTAAGTACCCAACACTACAAAGGATAGCTAAAGATATATTAGCTATTCTTGTTTCCACTATTGCCTCAGAATCAACTTTCAACACTAGCGGAAGATTAGTAAGTCCTCATCATAGTCGACTTCATCCAAAGACATTGGAGGCTTTAATGTGTGCTCAAAGTTGGTTGTTGAATGAAATTCGAGGTAGTATACTATTTTATATTAATTATATGAAATTATGAAGCTTTTTTGCATATTAATAATATTTTTGTTAAATTCCTTTTATATTTTCTTAGATACAACAACTTGTTCTGAAGAGTCCGAGGCATATTGTCGTTTTGTTAAATTTGATTATGATGTGGAAGAGGTAAAAGGACACTTTTAAGAATATTAATTTTATATAGTTTCCATGATTTGGTTTGATTTTCAGTTTGTTTAATATTTTGTAGGAAGATACTAAAGAAAGTGGGACAACAAGTTTGGATGATTTTGTTTGATTTTGAGTTTGTTTTAATGTTAAGTGGTAATGTGTTATTGTGATGAATTAGTTTTTCATATTTTGTACTTTGGTGTTTTGGTTGGTTGTTGTGATAATATTTGACTATTAGTAATTTCTATTTGGTTAAATTCTTTGAGAACTTATTTGGTATTTTAAGCCTATGCAACGTCTTAATTTATCATTTTGTATTTGTAGTTTTTTCTTTTTTCTGCCATACTTCGGGTTTTTGGGTCGGGTTTCTGGGTAGTTATCGGGTTTCAGGTTTAGGGTCGGGTTCGAGGAAAGTTTCAATCCCGACGGGGTGCCCCGATAAGAAACCTGTCGGGTATCGGGTCGAGGTCGGGGACACATTTAGAAATCGGGTTCGGGTTTGGGAAACCCCGCCCCGAACCTGCTCCGTTGTCATTCCTAATGGCAAGACTATGTGCGACACATAACACCTTTATTGATTATGATATATGTATGGCTCACGGTTATGTATGGCATGTATGGTTCTGTTGATATGTATGGTATATGGTATTTGGAGAACTCACTAAGCTTCGTGCTTACGATTTTCAGTTTTGGTTTCAGGTACCTCCATTTTTTAAATAAGGGAGCTCAGGACGATCGCAACGCATACACATATGTTTTCCGCAATATGTGATTTCTGAGAATGAACTCTGATAATTGTTTTTTTGAAATGCTTTTCAATGTGTGAACCAACTTACAAATGTGTTTTAGTTATATTAAAAATGAAATTTTTGGGTCATGAACTTTGGATGTTACAAGAATAGAGAAAAAGAGAGATGGTTGTCTTCAAGACTGATGACAAGGAAGAGATATGGTCAGAGGGTTGAAAGGGTGATGAAGGAATGAATAAGAAAGGAAGAAGGAGGCGATTAGGTGTGGCTAAGTGGTGAGATCATTTATTTTTTAAAATAATAAAAAATAATAGTTAAAATAAAAAAGTTAAGGGCAAAAAAGTAACTTCACATAGGCTTAACTACAAAATTTTAATAGAGTTAATAAAAAGACTAGTAATGGGACAAATTTAAAACTAAAAATGATCACCGGTGTACAAAGTTTGTTGTAAAGTGATCATTCAACCAAAATTGTTTCATAGAAATTGTTTTAGGAACAAAATCAAAACCATAAGAAACATTTGTGGAATTTTGTCGTTTTTTTGGAAATACGAATAATCCTTGTGATTTCCAAATGTATTCCAAAGATTATTATGTGCTCTTCTTGGCAAATTCTTGTGATTTCCAAATGTATTCCAAAGATTATTATGTGCTCTTCTTGGCCACTTCATCATTTGAGCATCCTTCTATAAGCGGTGAGTTTTTGTCAATGTTCTAAAAAGCTTGTTATGACTCCAAGGCTTGTACTTGCAGCCAAGTTTTGATAAAATGCCGCCTTAAGTCACATATGTATATAAAAATGAATAATAGCATAATATATATGTGCAAAATTTCCACCTTGAGTCGCGCTTTACAAACGACATGTCTCACCATTACTCAAAAAAAGCTTGAGGTTTGACATTGTCGCCAAGTCATATCTTACGTTATTTAGAACCTTGGTCTTTTGTTTACTTTGTTTGCCTATCGGTTTTTGTTTACTTTGTTTGCCTACTTTTATTAAGATATTATACTTTTTTGTGACATGTAAAATTTAGTATGTGCCTGTCTATGGACAAAATTACAGGATTGTTCCTTGTGGTATTCAAAAAACTTTGGATGGTATCCAAAAAAGTTCCTACTTGCATGGAAGGTTCAAAATCAAAACATTTTCATGATTTTGGTATAGAAAAAACTTGAAAGGACGATTATACATTTTTTATTTTCTTTTTTGTATTTTTATTACTATTCTAATATTATTTTAATTAAAAAAAAAAAGAAAAAAAAAATTATCCCCACCCACCGTTTCTCTCTCTCTCTCTCTCTCTCTCTCCCAACTTCGTCTTTCTGATTTTCAGAAAAATTGAATATCACCACTACCATCTGAACAAGATGAAGATCAGGGAACCAGATGAAGATGAAAAAATTAGGGGGAAAATGAAGATGAAGATCTTGTGTTGATCTCATAGGTAATACACAAATATCAGAATTCAGGGGAAAGAAACTGATTTCTTGCCTTAAAAAACGAACAAGCACATACACTCCAAAAACCGATATCTTGCCTTCAAATTTCGTTTCGTCTTCAGATCTCGGTTACGGAGACAAATTTTGATTAGGGTTAGAGATAGATCTGACAACATCACCGTTTGAAATCCTAGCGTTCATTGGAATGGCGGCGACAATTGATTGCTAGGGTTTTCGGTGACTGGTTGCTAGGCGACGATGACTAATTCCTAATCCAGATCTTGAATGAAAACCATAATCGACAACTTGAAGCAAAAACTAAAACGAGAAAAGCAGCGACATCATTTTTGACTAAGGATCTAGAGATCTTTTTGTTGACTATGTGCCATTTTCATATCGTAGGGTTTCTTTGTCTTCGTCTGGAAATCAAGGTGTTTCAGATCAGAGGTTTCTAGGAGACTGGTGGCCGATAGTGGTGTTGGTGGCGTTCTTTTTGGTGATTGTCCTTTCTGGTGAAGACAAACACCCTTTCATCACTTTCTCCCCTTTGTTGGAAAACCTTAATTTTCCAACACACACACACACACACATAGAGAGAGAGAGAGAGTGAGAGTAAATGTGTGTGTGTGAGAGAGAGAGAGAGAGAGAGTATCAGTAGGGGTGGAAGTGGGCCAAATTCTTTCATTTATAACTTTTAATTAATAAATTATTAAAGAAAATATTTAAAAAAAATACAAAAAAGGAATAAAAAGGGCAAAACAATCTTTTTAAGTTCACCATGAACCAAAACCAAAGGAAAACCTTTATTTTGGATCATCCATGCAAGTTGTAAACTTTTTGTATCCTATCCAAAGCTTTTGGCATACTACAAGGACCACTTTTGCAAATTTTACCACTTTTGCAGTTTTGTCCGTGTCTATGTGGTATGTTTCTAGTAATGGATAATGTAGTGAAGTACTCATAACATAACTGTCTAGAAAGCATGTTTTCTGTGTGCATGTATGATGTGTTTGTATTATTGTTCTTGGTTTTGTTGCTTCTTATAACCAATGTTTTTGGCTTTAATATGGTTGTAGATTGAACTTACGGTAAATCCATGTTTCTTAGTTTAATATGTTTTGGTAAATCATGTATTTTGTTTCACAATTTGGATCTAACAGATTTATATTTGTCATGGAAAGTGTGGCTTGGATCTAATAGATTTATATTTGTCATGGAAAATGTGAGCCATGGAAAAGAATGTGTCCATAGTCTTTGCAAAGACATTTACTGAAAAGTGGTATGTCATTATTATCTTCAAACAAATACAACATTTGTGATAAACTAGGGAGTTCCGTAAAGGTATTCGGTAAAATGTCGAAGATACATTCGCTGATAAGATTTTACAAAACATTCTTAGCCAACGAAAACCTAACCATATCAAAAGTTTGTCGATCCAACATGTTCCAATCATACTACTTCATCGCTTCATGTTTCTTCTCATACAAATGTTAGTGTAACTTCTTCTAGATCTAATCTACAATCTAAAACTTATAAAATAAAAAACCGTAAGCTTCAAATTTATCGATCTCAACATTCTCATCTTCAATCGTATCTTTAGCTCTGATACTAATTGTTAGGTTTAAGAGATATGATAAACACGATAAAGATGCAAGTAAAAATAAAAAAACAAAGTAATATGATAAGAGTTATTATACTACATCACCATACAAACTAAAAAGATTTTATTAGATTTGTAGAAAATACACTCACACTCACACTCACAATATGCCTTTATGGCTTCAAAGCCCACAAACCTCAGGAATCACCATATGCTCTAGTTAAGAGCCACTACTTTATGGGTTCCTCTAGCCGAACATTGAATACATTTTGGCCTTGCTACCACGCCTAACAAGTAACAACCCTTCTCTTGTGGATCAGGCCTCCAACTTTGGGTTGTGACCAAAACATAAATTATGTTCAAAAATCATTAATTATGTTCAAAAACGATGTGTTTGTACTCGGTTTACATATACATCTACATTCTTTTATAAAAGAAACTTCAAATGACGACTTATGAATTCTTCTTCAACGCTCTTTATTCAGCTTTTACACAATCTCAAGTTCTCAACAAACCTTCATCATCAAATCATTCCCTCACCCATTGCTGCGTTGTTAAACAATTTTTTGAGTTTTGGCATCACTGTTTCACTCTTCAATGAAGCGGATTTAGGGGTATATCGGGATGCTGGAGATCGAAACTTCTGTGATCTAACCCGTCTCGCAGTTCCCATGTTCCCAACTCTGTACACTGATTTCCGAGACGATGCCATGACTTTTGCCCCGATCTTTGTTTGTCGACTGCTTCGATCTTCTTCTGCTACGTCTTCTTCTTCTTCTTCCTCTACCTCAATGCTTAAATCCCTAATTTCTCGTTGTTTTATCTCAAATTTCATCAATATCTCTCTTTCGTTTGCCTTCAAAGCTTCCACCCAGGCCTCAGCTGCAGCGATTTTCTTATCAGCAAGCTCTTTAGCTCCACCTGCCTTCCCCGTTAAGTAATTGTATTCGAAATCCGTGATTGTGATTATCGAGCTGTTAATCGAAGCCATTTCTCTAGCTTCTACTGTAGTGTTAATCAGTTTCCTTAGATTTCCTAGGGTTTCAGATTCTGATGATTTGATTGCTTTGAGCTCCTCCATGGCAGCTACTAATTTTTCCTCTTCTAAATCTATTTCAAATTCAGTTTTATCAATTTCCCCCTTCATGTTTTCGATTTCTTCATCTACAACGTCTTTTTCTTTCTTTGCTTTCTCGGTTTCTGCTCTTAATTGTGCGAGTGTTATCGATAGATTGGCTGCAACTGTGTTGTTTTTCGATTCAGAAGCTGTAAGTGCTTCTAGTCTGGCTTTTGCCCTTAAGATCTTCGAGTTGAGGTTTTGAACAGTCAACTCTCGTTTCTGTTCTGCTTTCTCTAATCGAGCAGTTTCCTCTCGAACATGCTTAAGCTCCTTTCTAATGATATCCATGGAAGCCATGAAATTAAACCCTTCTCCTTTAATGGAAGCAAGTTCTCGTTTTGCGGCCTCCAGTTCTTCTGTAATCGTGTTTAACGGAGACCCTTCTTGATTCCTTGACATAGCCTCAGTTCTCTTGTCCATTTCTTTAGCCATATTCAGTTCAGTTTCTAACAAGTGTATATCAGAAAGCGTTATTTGAAGATCTCTTGTCCTTTCGTTCTCTTCCACCTGAGTTTTATAGCGATTCGCTTCTTCCACTCTCTGCGCTTCAATGGCTTCCCATTCTTTAACAGCTTCAATTCGAGCTAATTCAACAAGAGCTTGTTCCTCACCCAGTTCTTGAATCTCTTTCTTCATCAATACAATGGAAGCAGACAGATTAGACCTTTTAGAATTCGATTCTTTTGCTTCTCTCTCAGCGTGCCTCTTCTCCTTTAACACGCGAGCCATATCGAGCTTAAGTTTTTCCAATTCTCGTTTCACATGCTCAAGTTCCTTCATCACTTTTTCATATCGATCATCCTCGCTCCTCAATGAAGTTCCTGCTTCTTCTTCTTCTTCTTGGCGCCATTTTGGTTTTCTCTGCAATTTGGCTCTGGAATTTGATTCTTCGATCTTTAAAGTTAAATCACGAACTGCTCTTTTCGCATCAGAAAGCTCGGACTCTACGCTATCGGTTTCCGATTTCCACATTGGAGATTTCTCTTTGTTGTCTTTATTTCGATTGTTTTCCTTTTCTGCAGATGGCTGTAACAATTTGGAAACGAGAAATCCATAGACAACTTTATAAACTATAATCACGAATAATACGAATACGAAAGAGTCAAGATTGGAGTTACCTGAAGCATCATGACTATTTGCTAGGACAAAGGTACAACACGAGAAGAAAAAAGTACAATCTTTCACAGCATCACACACTCTGCACAAAAGAAACTACTGTAATGATTCAACCAAACACCCAGAAGAAAATACAAGTTGACTACGAAAGGTAGAATCTTTCACTCAAGCACACAGAAACAAGATAAACAGAAAGTGGGATGAGATGGAAGATTTAGATAAAGTGAAAGGACTTTGGAAAGATTTGGGGTATATGTTTTGAATGGTTGAAGTTGTAAATAAAAGGAAAATGAGGGTTAAAAATGAAGGAAAAGAATAGAATCTTGGCCATTGCTGTCTTGCTAGACATTGGAATCATCATAGCCTCTAATTTTTATACCCGGGACCCACTAATCTGCTTGTTATCATCTCCTATCATCACCAAAGGATAAAGAATGTCTCCTCGCTCATGAAATACTTGCATGTCCACAAGATACTTTTACTATTGGTAATTTGTTGTTTATAATTAAATAGTTATATGCATGATGGATGAAGGATATTCTTGAAGAAAAAATGTCATTTTCAAGGATCATTGTAGTATGAGCTAGCTAATGTTCGTTTTTTCTGAAGTTTTTGTTTCCTTAGCCGGACATAGAAAAAGGTCATTTAGGTGTTTTCATTTTTTATGTTTGTATTTGTAGTAAAAGGTGAATCTTGTGTGGCTTGTTAATTATCATCCAAACTCTGTTAATAAGGTTTGTCCTACTATGTCATTTGCAAAGACAATGTGTTAGAATTTTGTTGCACAAGATGGTGAACATGTTTTAGAGATGGTGGATTTTGAAGTTACATGATATTATTTTTTAGTCGGAAAGGTTTTATGTTAGTATTAAGGTTGTGTTTGGTGCATATAACATAATGTATTGCAATGTTTTGTGAAACCACAAAAGTAACTTATAAACTTATAAGCTATTTGAGATAATGTTTTATAAACTAACATACAAGCTAAAAACTAGTTTTTTAGCTAGTGTACCAAAAACAACCTATAATAACTTTGTTATTAAGTTAAAGGTTTTTTTTATTAATTAATAATCTTGAAAATAGCACCCTTTATATAGCTAGGGAATACAATGATGAGCAATCTAACAAACACTCATAAATTAAAGAGATAAACATAAAATGAACAGATACGGATATAAATGGAAGCAAATATTATTCTCAGTACTCCCCCTCAAGTTGAAGCGTGGAGATTCATAATGCCCAACTTGTCAAGAAGATCACGAAATCGTTGAGCCCCTAAAGGCTTGGTGAAAACATCAACAACTTGAGTCTTCAAGTCAATATGCATAAGCTGAACTTCCTTGGACTCAATGCGTTCTCGAACAAAATAGCAATCCATTTCCACATGCTTAGTTTGCTCATGGAAAACCGAATTATTGTCGATATGTCTCACAGCTTGATTATCACAGAAAAGTTGAGTTGGACCAAAATGAGACATGTAAAGTTCCTTCAACAACCCCCTCATACATATTACTTCACTAATAGTAGATGTCATGACTTTGTATTCGACCTCAACCGATGAACGGGAGACAAATGGCTGCTTCTTTGATTTCCATAAAATCAAAGAACCACCTAATAGTAGAAGGTATCCAGTTCTAGACCTTCTAGTCATTGGCTGAGAACATTGACATAGTACGTGATGTCTGGTCGAGTTGCTTGAAGATAGAGCAATCTACCCATAGGGTGTCTATATTGATTGGTATCTATCGTGGCTTCTCCTTCACATTTATCTAGTTTCAAATTTTGCTCCATAGGAACGGAAACATGTCGACAACCAAGCATCACTGCATCTTCCAAAATGTCCAAGGTGTATTTCCGTTGACTTAGGACCATGCCATATTGTGTTCTAGCAACCTCAATACCGAGGAAAAACTTTAAAGGACCTAGATCTTTAATGCTAGACTCAGTATTAAGAGCCTTTTTCGTATCTCGTATCTTTTGCATGTTATCACTAACAATGATAACATTATCCACGTAAATAAGATCAACAACAAAAGAATCATTATTTTTACAAAGAAATAAGGAATGATCAGCTCCTGAAGGTTTTAAACGAAGGCGTTGTAAGAAAATGGTAAAAAAATTTATACCAATTTCTAGAGGCCTACTTGAGCCCATAAAGGGACTTTTTTAATTTGCATACACGAGGATCATCCTTTGATCCAAAACCTTATAGCATCTTTAAGTAAACATCTTCATTTAAATCGTTGTGTAAAACGTTGTTCTTCACATCCGGCTGATAAACATGAAAACCCTTTTTTACAGCAATAAGAAGAAGAGTTCTGACTATGACAAGTTTTGCAACTGGGGAAAAGGTATCGTGATAATCCACTCCTTTCATTTGTGTGAACCCTTTAGTGACTAAGAGGGATTTTATCTTTCTATTCCTCCATTGGGTTTATATTTTATCTTGTAAACCCATTTCAAGTCAATAGCACGCTTTCCTTACGGTAACTCTTGAAGAATCCAAGTTGTTTTTTGAAGAGCTTGGATTTCATTCTTCATAACTTCTACCCACTTGGGATCCTGCATGGCTTGTACAAAGTTCTTTGGCTCATTGCTTGAGGTAATGGCTGCAAGAAAAGCTTTGTGTTTATCAGTAAAATTATTGTAAGAGGCAAAATTAGCTAAAAGATGTACAATTAAGGGTTGATGATCGGAGAAGGCAGATAAATCTTCGGGGTCGAGGGATGGGGAAATCTTGATGTTATAATCATTTAGAAGAACTGACATAAACTGATTTCGTTTTGGCCATTAAAGGCTCTATGGTTCATGATGAATGGTTTCTTGGTCTTCAGATGGACTGGGATATGTTTGAGCATGCTCAATGGTGTGATGTTGTTCGATTGTCTTATTTTCATACACAGTAGGTGCTTCATCTTCAGTTGGATTAATTTGTTTGTCCTTAGTGGTATTCAAGTTTTCAGTGACGGGTTGTTCTATCCTAACTGCAAATTCCTACTCCTTTGGAAAGACAAGAAAAACTCTTTTTGTTTTCAATCCCATTTACGTTAGAGAAAGGAAAAACATTTTCAATCCCATTTAGGCTCTATGGTTCATAATGATCTTGTTGTGTTGTGGATCATATATTTTGTACCATTTTGTTCTTGGTGAGTAATCAAAGAGCACTCCTGGTCTTCCTCTCATCTCAACTTTATCTCCCCTAGTTTATATGCTTTGATAATATGCTAGACAACCAAAACCCCTCAAGTGATCAAATCCAGGTTTTTGGTTGTATAATCACTCATAAGGTGTTTTGTTGTCAATCACATCAAACGACAAATGGTTAATGATGTGTTGGCAGTCAGAATGTATTTTTCGTAAAATTTGATTGGAAGATTAGCTTCAAATTTTAGAGTTTTCGTTGTTTTAAGAAGGTGTTTGTGCTTTCTTTCTATAACCCCATTTTGCTGAGGTGTATGTGAACAAGTTGTTTCAATAATAATACCTTCTTTAACATTAAAATCGAGCATGTCATTGGAGGTGAACTCTCCCCCATTATCACATCTAAGCCTTTCAATTTTCTTTTCAAACTGAACTTGTATCATTTTGTGAAATCAACCAGGCAAGTACTAGCTTCTTGTTTGTGTTTGAGAAGGAATACCCACATTGCATGACTATAGTCATCAACAATAGTAAGGAAATAGTTTGCATGTGTAAGTGAGGGTATTCTATACTTTACCCATATGTCACAATGTATAAGATCAAAACAAGATTTTGGTTTAGTGTTGCTAAGATGGAAAGGTAATCTAGTAAACTTTGCTTTAATGCATGAGTCATAAACAATGTTTGAATTAACTGAAATATTCTTAATAAAATCAAAACGACAAAGTTTAGAAACATAAGCGTTCCCCAATCTTTTGGGCCAAGTACCAGAACTTGTCATTAAAGCATATCTTCTCGTCCCCGTCCTATACAATCCCCCGACACATTCACCTGTTCCAATCAATGACCTTGAACTCAAGTCTTGTATGATAAAGAATTTTGGGAAACTTGAAAACATATTGTAAGTCATTACTAATTTTGGTCACTTATAGAAGGTTGCATTCAAAATCTGCCACATGCAAAACATCCTTTATGGTAATACCGTTTGGTAGGGTGTGATTTCCATGACTCTTGATGGGAATGGTGTAACTATTAGGTATGATTACGGGTGTTTCAAAGCGTTTAGTGGGTAATTTTTCAAGTAAAGAATTATCATAAGTAACGTGTTCAGTTGCACCATAATCAATAATCCATTTACTTGTAACACTCTATTTTCTCCTTACAATATGATTTAATACAAAGTATAATTATAATACTTATTAGCCTTGGTGATCTAAATAAATTTCGTAGTGATCATAATTCCAAGAGCATGCATGTGAAGAATGCCTAAATCTGACTTTGTATGTGAAAGTTATAATTTTTTTGAAGTTTCAGCGCAATAGTGTGCCACACAGGAATCAAAATTCAAATTTGTTGATTGTTAGCCGAAACAATCTAAACAAGAGTTAAAGATCTCATGAATATGAACCCGTCGATATATAAAGACATTCCACAACGCATGTCGTATGAAAGGGTTATGATTTTTATATGGGTTTTAACAATCTAATCCATTTAAAATATAACTTTAGAAATCGAGTGAGAATTAGCCAATGGAGCCTAAAAGAAAGTTATCGTACTTGTCAATAGCTACATATGGATATAAAGAACGTCGAAAATAGAGTTCGTATGAGAAATATACGGTTTTAGAATAAAATTGAATCTCGTACGCGCGATGCGTGCAACTTCTAGAAGGTAGGTGTGGACCAAAGGAAAAGCGACACGTGACAGTGTGGAAGATGAGAGACATCGTCGTAACGTGGCACACACCTCCTCAAAATCGCCTATAAATATATGGTGAATGCTCTTACTATTCCTCACACCTCTAGAGAAAATTCCTTTGAAAATCCCTACTTCCAATTCTGAAATATCTTTAGTATTTAGGAGTTTTTGTGAGACTCTGGATCAACAAAGAATTGGGCAGAAAGAAATGCTCGGTATCGAGGTCCTACCCGCAACTTTTCAACTTTTCACTAGGAATCTCTGAAAATTAGGCTAAACTTACTATGCTTTAAGTGTAACTGATATTTGTATTCACTGTCATTGTTATGAATGTATAAATAAGATTTATCAGTAATTGTATTCATAATACTGATTGATCTACTTATGAGAGAGGTGTCTAGAATGGGCATGTTGGCTTGGTTGTTGGATTTCAGAAAAGCTATATGCCAAAATGATCATGCCTCCTAATTGTATAGCTTTTCTGAAATGATCATGTTGGATTGGTTGGAAAACTCACTAAGCTTCATGCTTATCCAGTTGATTAAAAATGTTTTTCAAGTACTTCATTCATTTGTGAGAAGGGCAAGGCTCGACTATACATATGTGTATTCGTATCATTTTTTTTTCGAAAATGTTATTATACTATGATATATTTGAATAAATAAAAATAAAAATTTGGGTAAAAAATTGGGAAGGTTACAAGTTGGTATCAAAGCCTTAGTTTAAGTGAATTAGATGAACACTCGTGTGATTCTAGAGTCAAACTAATGATCTGAGTAATTAATAAATCTTTTTAGAAAAAGAAAAGAATGTCATGCGTATAGTCAGTCAAAGCTCAGAAAGGAAAGTAATTCCCAAAATAACCATATTGTTATGTCTGTTGATATATGAACTGTTAGAAATGCATGATAGTATTAGGCTAGGGATCTTTTCAGGAATTGCAAGACATAATTGTTTGATACTTAAGATGCCTTATATTGATATTAATTAG